TTATTCTTTTTTTGTTGAATTTACACTACCGGTCAAAAATTTGGGGTCAGTAGGAGTTTTAATTATTCTAAAGTAAGCTTATCCTACTCATCAAAGCTGCATTTATTTAATCAAAAATACAGAACAAATTGTTAAATGGTGAAATGTTATTGCACTATAAAATAACTGTTCAAAAGTAGTCTATGATTTAATTTAATAATTTATTCCAGTGTTTTTAATGATTAATTTTCAGCTTCATTACTTCAGAGTCACATGATCCTTCAGAAATCACTCTAATATTGATTGTTATTAATATTAATATTAATATTATTAATGGTAATTGTAATAAAAGCAATAATGGCTGGAGTAATAATTTAATTTTAAACTACATACAATAAGAAACTAATTATAAAAATTTTAAGAAATATTTAACAATTTAACAACTTTTTTACTTTTAATAAATGCTGCCTTGATAAACAGATAAAAAAAGGAAAAAAAAACTGACCCCAAACTTCTGACCGGTAGTGTATATCTTGTTCAAAAGAGGCTTAGACATTTACTTTAAAAACCTAACTAAAAATTATCACCATTTTTATTTTAATTAATGGTTTTAATGACATTAAGATTTTTTTTTTTTAAGAAAACGAGAAACATTACAAATAAAAAAATCAATTCAAACTATATTAAAGCATGTCATAACTAAAACTATTGTATAAACCATATGTCTCAAACTCGATTCCTCAAGGGCTGCAGCTCTGCACAGTTTTGCTCCAACCCTAATCAAACACAGCTGATCCCACTAATCAAGGTAGACAACTAGATAATATTAAGCAAGTGTGAATTGGAGGTGGTTGGAGCTAAACTGTGCACAGTTGTGGCCCTCCAGGAATTGAGTTTGAGACCATTGGTCCTAGCCAAAAGTCAAAGTAAGTGATAAAAGTAATATGTGTTGGCTGTTTTTGTGCATGAACTGAATCTGAGAGTCAGTAACCACAAGAACGGTGTCTCTAAGTTAGATTCAGAGTAGCTGTCTGTCCTCTTTGGTACTTTGTTCTCTCAAGGGGGTTAAATGGAAAGCCAGTCTCCCCAGAGCCGCAGAGAAACATACTCCACACGTCCTCAGGGACCCAAGGCATTCATCCAACCCGGCCGCCCAGAGAGCCATCATTTACAAGAGGTGACTTCCCTCTGAGTCTGTCAGCCGCAGGAAACACCACAATGTCACAAGCCTTTTTCTCAGAAAGTCCATGAAAAATAGAGCGATGAAATCATCTTAACTGGTACTTTCGTTTTGTTGCTTAGTAAAAAAAGACCCATAAGCCACTTAAAAAGCATAAAAAAGAATAAAAAAGAATAAAAAAAGAATAAAAAAACTTTAAATTATGTTTATTTTTCTTGCCCCAGTGCTTTTTGAGAATAAGCCTTTCAAACTTTTCTTGCAATAGGTTTGTGCACAAACAAACAAATGCATTGCCAATGAAGGAAAAATATATCCTACGCAATTTCATTCACTCATTCATTTATTTTCTTTTCAGCTTTATCAGGGGTCTCCACAAAGTAATGAACCGGCAACTTACCCAGCACATGTTTTACGCAGCAGAAGTCCTTCCAGCCGCAACCCATTACTGGGAAACATCCACACACACTCATTCAACACTCAAGGACAATTAAGTCTACCCAATTCACCTGTACCCCATGTCTTTGGACTGTGGGCGAAAGCAAAGTGCCCAGAGGAAACCCTCGCGAACATGGTGATAACATGCAACCTCCACACAGAAACGCCAACTGACCCTTTAAATATAATAAAATGAAAGCTTATCAATTGTGTTTTTGAGGCCAGCGTAAACATTTCAAGCAAGTTTAAAGCATTTGGGCACAAGGAAATGTTACATTTGTTGCTTTAACAGAGATTAATTGCATTTAATTATTTACGCAATAAAAAATAAACAGGTTTACTGTACATTTGAATATTTTTTGGAACATTTGTATATTTGCTCTATTTTATTTGTCTTTGCTTGTAATTTGTTGATTATCTTGATAAATATTGCAATATAAATCACAGAAAATTCGTAAATAATGCAATGCACATTTCTTTGAATATTGTGCAGCCCTATTGTGTAGTATACTGAAGTTCTCTTTGCTGTCTTGCATGCAATACACACAAAACAATGTCAAAACACACACAGTTCTCATAAACCCTTCAAAATGTCTGCGGAAACAAACAGCATATTTGTACAACAGTAGATCAGTGTTTCTATTTGAATAGAAAACTCAATCAGCCAGTTTTGAGACACTGTTTATGATTGATTGAATGGGTAGATTTTTACCATTTTAGGGGAAACCGCTGACAATCAAAGTGCTTAATAAGCTCCATTTAACAACATAATAGGATCATGTGCAATTAAAAAAAAAATGCCAAGGTTAAATAGGAGTGTCAGATCTTTATTAAGGAAAAAGAAAAGAACAGATTTCTGAAAACCACAATAACTCATAGTGAAAGATATAGAGAGACCTAAAGCAGGACATGACCTACTAAAACGTTTTTTAACATGCCAGTCCACTTTATTGACTTAAAAAATGTGAATGTGTCCAGGCTTCATCATGCAGAACAGATGAATAAAAGAGATCAAAATAAAAGTCTGAAATGTCAGAGCGGGGTGGAATAAGCTAAAAAAAAGACACTGACAGCTTGTCAGGCAGCGTGGAAGGGAAATGTCATTAGACAGAGCAGGGTGGGAAGGGGGCTTTTCATGAACGCCACTCTGTCCCCATGATTCAAACTCCCCCACCAACATGAAACAGCCAGGATTAAATCAAAGAAGAAGAGCTCAAAAGTCCAGACAGTTAGCATGGCGAGGTGTGACGTGGCGGGAGCCTTCAGCGGAATAATTGATCAGTTGAATTTTTCAACTCAGAATTCCTCTGTAATGCCCTTTAACAAGCATGCAGAATCGAAAGTCCCACCGGGGATGATGAAATACATGTAATGTGTTACATAATCAGAGGATTTCTCTCAAAGACTATGACAAGACAACAAGTGTTAACATGCAATACCGTAACAGCAAAGTCTCGTAAACAAGGGGTGTTTTTATAAATCTTTAAAAAAATGTGAATACAAATAATTCATATACACTACTGCTCGCAAGTTTCACTAATTATGTTTCCATCAAAAAAATGCTAATGAATATGCACACAAAACTGCAATATTGCATAAAAGACAAACAAATAAAGCAACGTTTTCATCCAACAAGTCAAAGAAAACAAAATCGTCACTTCCTGATAAACTGGCGCCAAATATCAACAGCAAAAATGGAATTTGCTGCAGTAGAAGAGGCTACTTGAATCTTTTCTTCATTTAATAAATTACTTGCACCTCAGAAGACAAATTGTGACATGATGCTCTTGACAGCTCTAGAGGTAATTAATAATATGACAACACTAATACTGAATCATTTAAGGCATTTTAAAATGACCAAAATCAACATTTCAGATGCTTTACAATGTACAGCAGCATGCCTGCTGATTTGTCCATTACACACACTTTATCACATGATCTCTCATAACAAAATCACTTATTTTGAAGCACATATACCGGAATTTGTGCGGTAAAAGTGTTTCCATCATAGTTTATGCGCATCTTTTCTTATCGAATAAAAGGTTTATCCTACTCAGTTATGCGTATACATTATTTATGCAAATTTTCAAGATATATGTGCTTGGCGTTTCCATCAACCGTTTTTTTATGAGCATGTCTAAAATGCACAGAAAAATAGGTGGATCGAAACATAGCTACTGTTTAATGTCTTACAATTAAAAAATATATATACATAATTTAAACCAGTTTTATATTTGAATGTATTTAAAATTGCTATTCATTCTTGTGTTATATTATACACATATTATCAATGTATGTATATATTTATTTATATATTTATTTATGTATTTATTTGTGGGGGGAGTTTTAAATAAATTAACTACCACTAAATTGATCAAAAGTGAATGTTTATAATATTTAATGGTAACACCGCAGTTTCAGTAACGATTCAAATCATTTACTACTGGTGTATTACCTGCCTATTATTAAGTTATTAACTGTTTATTAGTGTTTATGAAATATGATCTTTTTTTCATCCCTAATCCTAAGAAAATACCTAAACCTAACTACTATCTTACTAACTATTTATAATAATCAGATAATTAATTGTTTATTAAGCTAATACTCTTAGGTAATGGTTTGTTAATAGTGTAAATTGTACATTAAAATAAAGTGTGACCCATTTCATTTATAATGTCATAATTTTTACAATTTATATAAAAATCCTTGTAGCTCTTTGTTTTTCTGGGTTCAACTTTTATAAGTTTTATTGTTAATAAAATTATATTTACTTGAATTACATTTACTCACACAATTATCAATACTTTCATATTATGTAATTAATTACATAATCAAATAATAACATATATTATATTGAATAAATACTCTTTCTGGGCAGCACGGTAGATCAGTGGTTAGCAGGGATTTGCAATGAATTAACAAAATTTACCATAGTGCATGTGTGAAAGCAAGAGTGTATGGGTGTTTCCCGGTACTGGGTTGTGGCTGGAAGGGCATTCATTGCATAAAACATTTGTTGGAATAGTTGGTGGTTCATTTCACTGTGGCAACCCCTGATAAATAAGGAACTAAGTCGAAGGAAAATAAAATGAATGAATGAATGAATGAATGAAATATTCATTCCTAAGTTGCCTACTACCAAAATGCTTTAACATTCTGTATTGTCTAAAGGGCTATGGAAATCAAGCTGGTTTTAAACTGACAGCACTAATATAACTTTGTGCTTTATTATTATATTTATTATTATATGGTCACCCTTTGCGTTTGAAAAACAACAATGACCACTGCAAACTAAAAGCAGCCAAAATGACCTGCACTCATAACTGCTATGACTGGTAATTGAAGCAGATGTGATAATGATATTAACTGCAGTGCTAATGAGAGCATAACTGCTCCACAGACTCACCGCAGCGGCCCTGGTGATGCACACGGATGTTCTTCTGAGTGGCGCAGGCCTTCATGTTGAGTTCACATTCGCTTTGGTAGTCCAGGCCGTCACTGCCACACACCACATGCTTGGGGACGTTTTCACAGCTCAGAGGACACATACACTTGGCGGACAGACCATCCGATGACTGGATGCAGGTGCTGCCAAAGCTACAGGTTACCTCACTGCACGGGTCCTTGAGGGCTGAAAATTGAAAAAAGAGAGAAAATGAGGAAAATGTTGCATTGAATTGATGTCATAATCGAAGGTTTTGTAAGGTTTAGGGCCCTGTGAAATATGATTTATTTTTCCTAAATTCTATATTATTATTATTATAGTAATTATTACTTTTATTATTAATATTATACTTCATATCATTTATCTTGTATTTTATATTTTATATTCCATTTTTAACTTAAGCTTTTATGGTTTAAATTGAACCCTTCTAACCATAATCTATGAATAATAAATTAAATTATTAATTTATAATTATTTGAAATAATTTTACAATTGCCATCACATTTCTATTGCATTATACACATTGCTTTATTGTTCCTAATTCAGTTTTTTTTCTGTTAAGAATAAAAGTGTTTTTACATTTATTCCCTTTAAGGTCCCTTAAATTATTATTATTATTATGACTTTATTATTTTATTCTATTAATTTAGATCTAATTATTTTAAATAAATTTACAATTGCAATTTTATTATTATTATAATTTTTTCTTATTATTATAATTAATCATTTAATTAAGTTAAGCCAAAAGTTTTCATAAACATTCTAGAGTTTCTGTGTCCTTGATATCGTAATAACTTCTTCCTCAAAAATTGTAAAAATGCTTAAAAAGCTGCTCAGGAGATACAGTAAAGCTCATGTCCACATATACTGTAATGAGATAGCAAACACTGAAAATAGCAAACAAAACTGCACATTCATTAATATTCATATTTTTATGTTTGTGTCCATAACACAATTTAATTAGGTGTACAGTCTTACTTTGATTCATTATGGTTTATAAGTAACTTTAGCAATCAGAACATAAATTAAAAAATTAAATAATTAATTAATTAATTTAATTAGGATTTAATTATTTAAAATAATTTTACAATTGCAATTACATTTATACAATTTCACAGCTTATACAACTGCTTTGTTTTTGTCCCTAGTTCAGTTTTTTCCTGTTCAGAATAAAAACAGTGAAGAAAAATTTGGCATTTTTTTCCCTTAAAGTCATATTCATTTCATCAAATTAAGCCAAACAACTTTTACGAGTTGTCATAAACATTCTAGAGTTTCTGTGTACTTGATATGATGATCATTTCTTCCTCAAAAAACTGTAAAATGCTCATGAAGTGACTCTGAGAATTTCTCAGAAGATAAAGCTCATGCCTACATTTAATGAGATAGCAGACACTGAAAATAGCAAACAAAACTTCACATTCATTATTATTTATATTAAAATTTTCAAGTTCATAACAAAATTTAATTAGGTGTACAGTCTTACTTTTATTCATTTCATTCTGTAAATCTATTTGTTATGCATAAACTAGTTAGCATGTTAGCATCTTCCTAATGTGTTCTGGGTGACTACTCGGTGGCCTTGGCCACAACACTCCATCATCCTTACGTTTTATAGCTTGTACCTACTCATGCATCCAGCACAAACACGGTTCAGGATGAGTTACGTGCCAAAGCTTAATATTTAATGTCGAGAGTTAGCAAGCAACGCTAATTACATGATGTACTGTTGGTGGTGTTTGGATAATTGGCTAGCCGCTAGTCTTGTTCACAATATAAGATCTGTTTAAGGTGTGAGTTCAAGGGTGAGCTCCCAACACAAACCCTATTACTGATGTAAAATTGGGTTAAGATGAGGCACAGTCTTTCAGCAGCTCCACAAAGATCAGACGGGGCCCCGTGTCGATACAGATGGCAGAGTGAAGTGGCTTAACCCGGGTTGAAGAACAGCTCAGTGCCCTAGACTTGAATATTCGGTCACAGCTGGGTGGGTGTACAAACAAGTCACTCTAATTCACCACGGACCATTTCAAGCAAGCTTTGCATTCACAAAACATCCTCAATTGCTATGCCTCAGCGTTCCCATCCTTACGCTGGAGGGACCTAATCAGCTTTTTTCCTTATGAAAATAAGAAAGCTGTGTTTTTTGAACAAACGACTTTGTCTATTTCTTATTAAACATTCTGTCACTCAGGAATTGATGTTGAATAAATGATTTACGCAAAAAATGAAATTTCCGTCATCGTTTGCCCAAGTTGTTCTAAAGTCGTATGATGTCTATGAAACACAAAGAGGATATAAAATTCAGGTCACTCTTTTTCAAGTAATTGAAGTGAATGAGGATTGGGACTGAAAAGTTTCAAAGTGATAAAAAGCTGCATAAAAGTATTTTAAAAGTGATCCTGCATTTTTTATAAGTCTAATGAAGCAATATGATGAGGCTGTGTCATGAGGCATGACTAGTGTGAAATGTACAGAATACAAAAGATGCACAAATCAAACTTTTTACTCTTTACAAGTGAATCTGTGCTAATAACATATGGGTCAAAATAAAATAAAATAAAATAAAAAATTGTAATTTAAATTTAAATTAATAAAATTAAATAAAATTAAATAAGATAAAATAAAATAAAATAAATGCTTCTTTCATGAAACTTTTGTAATTATTGAAATAAATTTGAATTCTTGTAATTTGTGAGTGAAAAAGACTGTCAGCAATCTAGTGACTGAAGACTACAAATCCAAGCATGCACCACACACATCAGTTCCTGATCCTGACAAACTCACAAACTCACACAGCTTAAGCTGTTTAAGCACTGATTAAAATTACTATTTATACAGCCCTTACACACACAGAAAGACATTGCTGAGTCTTGTTGTTACCTGTACACATTACAAAGAATTTATCCTTGCCTTATATTGCCTTGTTTAATTCTTTGCCTTGTATATTGTTTTTTGATGCTAGCCGCCTGGACCGACCTCTCTGCCTGTTTTAACTTTCGGATAGTTATACTGTTTGCTCTTGTAATCGATCCTTGCCTGCCTGACCATTCCTTGTATAATAAAATCTTTGCAATTGGATCCTCACCTCTGTTGTCACATCCGTATTGTACAGAGACCTTCCCAAAAGCTCACCTCACATGTACGTTAATGAATTTCAATCATTCATAAAAAGCACATGCATGCTGATTCACAATTAACATAACCCCTGCCTACAAATCACAACCACTGCAGTTGATGTCATATTGATGTTGTACCCCAACATTGTGGGGACGCTGGATTTTGTTTGGAAATAAAATCGGTTTGACATCAGAACCCAACGTTTGGCCGACGCCAATGTTCAAAATCCAACCTAAAATCAACCAAAAATCAAACAAATATAAACGTCTAATCATGCTACACCTTGTTGTTGTGTGGACGTTACCACTATGACATCTATCAGATTTTGGTCAATCAAAATGCTATCGAATGAAACTTTAAATATAGCACACAAGGTATGGACTAGTTTAAATTTATGTTTTATCATTTCTTTTGTGTCCTGTTTGAAGCTTACATTGCCATTCCTTGAAACTGAACAGAAAAGTATTCTGATCAGAATACTATTCAAAAGGTCTCCAGTTTTATTCTGCTACAAAAAAAGAAAAGAGCCACACAAGTTCTGAACGACACAAGGGTGAGTAAATGATCAACTAATCCTTTAATTCTGCCTAAATGAGAAAGGTGGAAGTTTTAATTTGCAATACACCAGGGCGATTTAACTGAAATGAATCCATTTCTATTTCTGATCCTCCGAGGAACCATTCGACTATTATCGTTATTATTTAGATGATAAATATTCATGAGGCCCTGACAAACACGGAGATGCTGAAGAGCGAATGGACCGTGTCACTTCAGCAGGGGCTACTTTCATTTCCGACTGTCCCCACACACGCCGTCAGCTCCAATTCATTCCCACTATCTTCGTCCCTGTTTTCACCTCTGCCATGCGTCATATCAGCCTACAGTCTCTGCTATCGTTTGTGTGTTTTACTTTGTGTAAATCCACTAAGAGAACCCACTTGTTTAATTAAAGGTTTCTGCCTCTCTCTAAGGACCACGCTCCAGTTTTGCAGAGTGACACACACACACAAAAACCCACTCACACACATGATAAACCTGGCAAGCGGCATAGTAAGGATGAGATCAGTGGCGCTTTCGTGTGTTGTGTGATCAAAGTGTTCATTCTCTTTTCCTACACTTCCTCGCTAAAAAAAGATGACTGTTGCCTCCCTCGTCTTTGCACGTCTGAACCTCGCACTTCATCATCCCGGGTTTGCTAACTAACAAACCAGTCGTGCTTCCAAAAAAACTCATTGTTAACATTTGTGTGGGGGAAGTGTGAACACACCCTCGACGCTGCAGACAGCATCCACACACAGGTCGTGTTATACACTTTGTAGTGATGCTGAAGTAAATATGAGAGCGTACTTATAGGTCGATTTCACATGACGTCACTGAAATTCAGATGGTTGGCAGGAAGTGATTCTTCTCCATAGGAATCGCTATCAGAACTTTAAAACACTTCTGTTTTATGTTTTTTAAATGTTTAAATCAGCCAAAATAAGAGCCGAACAGCTTCTAAAGATTTCCAAAAGTTTTTACTCAAAGGGTGAAAGTTTGAGAAACTGGCTGAGAAATGGAAGAAAAGCCAGCATTTGATAAAGATTTATTCAATTCTGTCACGATTATCCTCTATAAAGAGACGCACTGTATCGCAGGAATTATCAAAACATGTATTTATTTACATAACACTCACTGAAAACACTGGAACATCCACACACAGGAATCACGGGGCGAAGACAACATACAATGACGTGTAAAACCGGACATTGAACAAAGTAAACACAGGGACTTAAATACACAGCACATAATAGGACTAATTACAAACAGGGGAGAGACACAGGTGAAACTCATGAGACTAACAACAGGCAGGAAAACTGAACAAAGGAATCACATGATGACAACAGAGGTATATGGTCTCCCAAGTTCAGTCTTCCAAGGTAATTTGGCAAGACCGGTCTCCACAAGAACGCAAGTCCGTTCTTTGCATTCTTGGAATTAAGAAACAGCCATGGACTTTCCTCTATGTCTCCCAATAAGTGTTTCCTGCCCTCCATCTGATTTTCACACTTCACCAGAACCACGTG